CACTTTTAGACATAAGTTGTAACGGCCGCCGTTTTCTTTGTGAGTATTTATTACATGGCGTGCTGTGGGGAAAAGCCTGTTCTAACGTTTGAGTCTAAGGTTTATTTTTTAGCACCTGGCGGCTCTTTTTTAATTCTCATCCGTAAATAATCTGCTCTTTTACGTGATTCAGTTTATTTTGAAAAGTCTCAAAAGGATCTTGAGCTTTATTGTGAAAGGTTTATGTGGAACATAAACAAGAGGACTCGCGATGCTGTTGTCGTTGTTGCTAACCACAACGCATAAAAACAGGCACTTGTCCGTCAGTAGTGTGGTTATATTACATATAAGAGAAAGAGAGAACTTTAAGAAATTAATATAGACACTACAGTGACCATCAAAACGATGAAAAATATTGCCGTAAACAGTTTATTTTGCGACACCACGAAACAAACAATAGTGTAAAATGAAATGATAGATGTTTTTATATCATCATCCGATATGTAAATGGTAAATGGCCTGCATTTGTATAGCGCTTTTCTAGTCCATAGGACCCCAAAGTGCTTTACACTACATTCACACACACATTCACACACTGGCGATAGCAAGCTACATTGTAGCCACAGCTGCCCTGGGGCGCACTGACAGAGGCGAGGCTGCCGGACACAGGTGCCACCGGGCCCTCTGACCACCACCAGTAGGCAAACATGGGGTTAGTATCTTGCCCAAGAATATTTGGCATGCAGCCAGGATGCAGCCTGGGATCGAACCACTGACCTTCTGATTAGTGGCTGATCTGCTCTGCCACCTGAGCTACAGCCACCCCATAATCGTTATCGTTATATCAAAAAGCCCTAGTCCTGAGTGACGTCAGCAGACCGGTGGCATAATGTGAGCCGGGCACACTGTCACGAGCTCACACTAACACGGTCTATATTGACCTGGTAGCATCACACAGTTGCCAGATTTGACTCTGGAGACCATTTAAATACAGTGAACTCATTGCCATGTTCAACAGCGTAGTTTGAGTTGATTTGACCTTTGTGACACTGCGTGTTAGCCATCAAAGTAGGATACACAGTCCATGTCCATAAGGACATGGATATGATCAGTAGCAACACTCAGGCAGCAGTTGTGTTTAAAACCTCCCACCAAAACTAGAACCCTGAATCACTGACACAAGGCAGGATGTTGTTTATGAGCCCATTACCCAAATGTCACAGCAGAAGTCAAGACTCATCAGACCAGGCAATGTTTTTCCAGTCTTCGATTGTCCAGTTTCCTGTTCTTAGCTGATACTAACAGTCCCAATGTGGTCATCTGCTGCTGTAGCACATCTCTTTCAAGAGATGCTCTTCTGCATACTTTGGATGTAAGACGTGTTTTTCGAGTTCATGTCCTTCCTTTCAGCTCAAAGCAGTTGGGGCATTCTTTTCTAAACTCTGGCATCAAGAAGGAGAACTGGATTGTTTTCTCTTTTTCAAACTATTAAACCCTAGAGGTGGTTGTGTGTTTCTAAAATAATTAGACCAGCCTGTCTGGAAACAACAATGCCATGTTCAAAGTCACTTAAATAACAAATCACCTTCCCACTTTCATGCTTAGTTTGAAGTTCAGCAGTTCACCTTGACCGTGTCTACAATGTATTAAGCTGCTACCATGTGATTGGCTGATGAGATATTTGCATTAATTGGTAGATTAAAAAGTGTATCTAATGAATTGACCACTGAGTGGATTCCTGTTAAGACAAGGCTCACACAAACAGCTCACCAATCAGCTTGTAGTTCATATAATGCAAAATTTAAATGAGATAAACATGGCTGTACTATCCATCTCTCCCCTTAAGGAGCAGCAGTTTATCTCTCTAATAATCAGGTTGACACTAAATACATCAACACCAAGAAATCATAAAAACAAAGAAATCAGCGCTATTGATTGGCCTGGTTAATTTTCTGCTTGATGTTTTTCTGAAGCCAAACTGAGTTTGCGAAGCTTAGAACTGTTTCTGTGTGAGTAAGTGTTTCTCAGAGTCACGTATATCATCTGACATAAATGATACAGTGGGAAATTGAGGTTGGAGATTGATCTGTAAGCTTCAGGTATCATCTGAAGGAAAATAGAAAAGACACAATTGGCCCTTAGAGCTAAAGAAGGAAAACGAGATTTTGTCACTGACAGACTAATCTGTTGTTTTTCAGATTAAGGTCAGTATTGAGGTCATGTATTACAGAAAACCCCCAACTTCTTTACTAAAAACAATGAATGCATTGCTTATATACGTGTGGTAGACAGTAACTACTTGCACTACTAGCTGTAAAAATGGCTGTTGCCTGATACTTTGAATGCTGCACTTTAATTCTATTAGAATTTTCTGATTTAACCATGTGCTTAAAGAAGTAATTTATTTTATATAACTGCACTGTAAATAATGATGGGAGGAAAACTGAGCCGGATCTTTCAAGTTCCAATAACAATAATTTCTCTCCACTGTGCAACTTTTCACTTATTATATCCTCCATCATCCAGAGGAAAGGATAGTAAAAAGAAAATAGCCCTCAGGAAGAATGAGGGAGAGACACAGTTAAAGACAGAGAAATGTGGAAATTAACCAACAGTGCAGTAAGCATTGCGAATGTGCTGTGATATGAGACCAGCTCTCATAAATATTGTAGCAGAGTGTCAAGCAGCCTGCCAGCAACCAACATACTGCTCCTCACACTGATAAAACAGGGCTAAACAATCACTGCGCTGGAAACATACACACCTGTAAGTACACACACACACACACACACACACACACACACACACACACACGCACACACACACAGGACAAAGCTGTTCAAGAATCCTCAATGTTTATATCAAGCTCTATATTTCACTTGTCATTTCTCAGGAAAGACTCTGCACAACATAAAATATTAAAGACAGATGATAAGGTCAAAAATCTGACTATTTAAATTGACAACTGGATTGTCGGTAAGCACCTTTTTTCAGATGTTAAACACATTACTGATTTATCATCAGGCTCATGTGTGAAATGTGTTGGCAGTGATTTGGTCAGAGCAACGTTTGCATTCATTATCTGGACACTCCAATGAGTTGATGATCTATCTATGTATATACATATACATACATACACAAACAAACACAAACGCACACACACGTTTAAAATGAGCTACTCTTGAACATAGCTTGTTCTGCCCCTTGTCACAGCATGGTGGGTTTATTACAGCTTTATAGCTGTAGGATGATCATAGACTGTATATGTCCTACCACTGTGATGCCATTTTCTAATAATATTTTTTAGTTATAATATTTAAATGCCGCTTCAAGTAACTATGCCAAAAACCTTGGTACATAATATAAACACAAAGACGCATATCTATAAATTAGTGGTGATTAACATGTAAGCAAATTCTACAGTTTCACTCCCAAAATGCTCCAAAAGGCAACAATACCACAAATTAGCTAAGGGTATATCAAGAAAACAGCTATTTGGCCTCAGAGCAGCCATGGCTCCAATCACACATAACGCTAACCCCTTAATACAGTAATACAGACGGGGTGAGTTATAAAAGATTCACCACACATACTGTTGTTATAAAGCTGTAAAAATAGTTCTTTCATCTTTAAAGTCACTTTAACATTGGACTTTATTGGGATTGACTCTCTTTAGAAGACAGCCTCTAGTGGCTATATTAAGAACTGCGGTTTTCAGTGTTTCGTGTTGGCTTCATTAGCGTATGCCTGCCAGATGTGTGCTAATGCCAGTTTACTGTCATTGCAACACTGCTGTTTGTTATACTGATTAGCAGCAGGGGAGCTCATTTTGTTTGGACTGTTTAAAAAAAACAGCAAGTCTGTTAAAGTTTTCAGCACACACATCTTTTAGAGTCTCAGGTACATAATTAGCAGCTTATTTTGTGTTTATATATATATATATATATATATATTTTTTTTTTCTGTTTACTTTCTGCAACCAGAAATGTTCTTCAAGCTTTTCTCTTCGGCAGAGACGCTAATGCAAACTCAAAGTCACGTACTGGCTCAATCTGCAATCTGGACTCTATTCATTAAAATCTGTAAAAACCAAACAACAATTAGTTTTGCATACACCATGTGAGAAAAACGTCACTAACTGAACATAAAGGTTTACTCCACTTAAGAAGATTACGAATAGTCCTAATTGAAGGCAATTCATTTTTGAAACATCATAAATCTTAAAGACACACGTCGTCATCATTTAAATGGGGAAAGTTAATTTGCAAATGAAAAGATCAGCATTTTCTGCACGATGACAAAACAGCAGTGGAGGAGAAAAGGGGGAAGAGCAAGAACCAACAAGTGTATTTAAACACAATAGCTCCCTGTGGTACATCTATGGATTACACTAGTAACAATAGACTATTATCACAGCTGTCCAAAACCAACAGTGATTCCTCCCTGATGACACAAACATAAAACACAAAGTGTGATAAAGAGAATAAGGGTTACTGCTAAAAAGAACAAAACAAAAATCCCCCAAAAACATGTCAAACAGCGCAGCATGGGATTGATTTGGAGCCTAAATTGTTTTTGCATGTGTCTGCGAGTGTGTTCGGAGGAGGGTCAGAAGTAAATATGAAATGATGTGGCATCTGTTCAGGCTTTAAGTGATATATCACTCTATTCCACTCCGTTTAGCATCACTTCGTCTGAGTTAATTGGTTCATGAGGAGCACTAATTAAGGGGAATGGCCTTGTTTATCGTCATGGCGATGCTCGTTAAGCAGAGAGATTTTTTTTTTCCTTCCAGTACTCATGACATTAACCCACCCTTCACAACTTGTGGGTGGGAAGTAGTATCAGTGTTTACCCTTTGATGTGTCAGCTGCATCTGCGTTTCTGTGCAGCAGAATCAAGTGCACACACAGCTTGACAACGCTCTGCATGTAATGTATACAAATGCATATGCACACAATGGCACACATAAAAACGCATTACAAACACACAGGCAATACATTATCCAAGATGTGTCCTACCTCTCTACGCCGTGAGGCCCAGCAGGTCTGTTTGATTTTCCAAACTACAGCAGCCACCAGCAACAGCGACAGGAAACAGCTGGACAGAGGAGACAGACAGATGATAAATCAATCCAAAATCAATGATTTCTCAGTAGTGCATGAACAAGAATATGCAAAAAAACAAAACAACGACCCATCAGGCAGCATTAGATGGAAACAATTTAAAGAACCGCTTTACTTCTAGGAATAAAAGGTTATACAAGAAATGTTAGCATTTCAAGTAACCAGCAGTTGATGTGGCACGAATCAGAACAGATGGCTTTCAACCAAGAGACTACCTGGGTTGTTTGTTTTAAATTATTATTCTGCTTGTTAGTCAAAATATTACAACTAAGTGCTTGACGTCACTCAAGGTGACAAAATAGTCAGTGAAACAAAAGAAAAATCATTGTGTTCATGCTTATAATTAGCTTTTCAGCTGTTAATGTTTTCTTTTTATTTGTTGGGGTTATCCTGCGTCCAGTATCTGTGGATAACACAATCATTTAAGCACCACGTACTTGGAGCTTCCACTGTCTTTTAAGCTCTCACTATAAAAATACAACCATAAATGGTTGCATTTCCACACTAATTTCCTCCCCTTTACCTCCATTTTTTGCAGACCATAGGCTAAAAAGGAGAGAGGAATTCTTGAGAAATATGTGGCAAGATACAAAACCGCAGCGACCACAGGCAGCTGGGGATTTTAGGACACAAAAGGGGCGGCAAGAGGGCAATGAGCGACATGATGCTCTCTAACAAAGAACAAGGTTTCATTTACACACAGATGCGCACACACATCCACACATTCTGTTACAAAGTTCAATGTCTGGAGGCCAAAGTTATCAGGCCAAACACAAAGCTTCTCTCTCAAGCAGAACTTCTGACAGCAACTCAAAACAAGCACACCCAAAGACTTAACAACAGGAAGTCCCTGAGAAAGTGCTGAGGACAGCAGCTTCGAAACAATCCTGCTCTTCATCTGTTTCTGTGTGTGTCAGTGCGTGTGCATGTGCTCTCCCATCTCTCAGTATGGAGATGACAGCATTGTAAAGGGTATTAGTGTTGTAATGAGCGTGACATTTTCAGACCAATTGTGGCGAGGAGGCTGCAGTCATGGCCTCTTCAGTCCACTGACTTTTCAGTTGCATTCAGAGACATCGCAACCAGGAAATCCCCTCCGGTGGTGAGGACAAGATGCTCATTGCTGCTGCTGGATGAAAACCACCCACTTTAAAGATTCTTGCTGCTGACTTTTGCAGATTATGAAAGCTTTCATCTAGCATCACAGTGTCTTTCATTTCTTCGGTTAAAACAAACATGGTACAAACACCTACAGTACTGACCAAAAGTATTGTGTCACCTTTCATGGCTTTAGATTTAGTTCTCAAGGAGTAAGACTTTTTTTCTGAATGTCTATCAAAGTGAGCTGAGTGTAAATGTGAAGCCTCAATTTACTATTCAATCTACATCCCTACCCCCACCTATGGTCACAAACTGTGGGTGTGACCGAAAGAACAAGATTGCAGATACAAGCGGCAATAATGGGCTTCCTCCGAAGGGTGGCTGGACTCTCGCTTACAGATAGGGTGAGAAGTTCAACTATCCGGGAGGGGCTCATAGTAGAGCCGCTGCTCCTCCACATCGAAAGGAACCAGTTGAGGTGGTTTGGACATCTGACAAGGATGCTTCCTGGGTGAGGTGTTCCAGGCATGTCCCACCTGGAGGAGGCCATGGGACAGACCCAGCTGCTGCCCCGCGACCCGGCCACGGATACTTGGAAGAAGATTGATAGACCATCCGTCCATCCATCCATCTAAGAGTTTTGTTGGACGTTGGCTGCTTTTTCACTGATTTTCAGTTTAGTCACTGAACTTTTTTTTGTTGAACCAATGATTTGTGACTTATTCAAGCAGCAGGCAGCTTAGCAAAGAGCCAATTACTAACTGTATCTTTAGATTTTATATTACTACCAGCCTGTCATCAAAACACTTTTTTCTGTTCCTTTAGTTGAAACTATGAAAAAGCCAAAGATAGCACAGCCTAAAATAAATAAAATAGTATTTTTGTACTATGGCGATGATTCCCAAAGAGCTATTCGCTGTGTTTCTCACCATTTTGTCTTTAAAAAAGTTAAGAGAAACTAGAAAAGGGGAGAACAGAAGAAATAAAAGTCATGTCCTTAAAAAAATTGGGGGGAAAAAAGCAAAGATCTGACAAAGGACTTGAGAGATGCAGCTTGACCTTCAGTTAATCCCTCTACTGTTCACTGAAGTCTCCTCAGAAATGGTCATAGTGGATGGGTGGCTGTCAAGAAGTTCTTCTTAAGGAAGAGAAAAGGTTGCGGTATGCTAAGGTACAGAAGAACTAAAATAAAGATCAGTGGCAAAGGGTCATAGGGAGTGAAGAATCCAAATTTCACGTGTGTTTCAAATTATTGTCAGTGTGTATGGCAGATACAACAGTATCTAGAGCCATCTGTAAAACACAGTGGTGCCTCTGTCATGGCTGATTTCAACCAGTGGCTTTCTTGTCAAAACTGATGGAATTAGGAGCACGTACAAGTACTGTCAGATTTGAATCCATCATGCAATACTATCTGGAAAACATTTGATTGGCAACAGATTTTTCTCACAGCATGAAAATGATCCCTAATACATTAGCAAAACAGCGTATCTGGGAAAAAACCCACATGGTCGGTCATTACTGAAGCAGTGGGGAATTATCTTGACAGAGAGAAGGAAGAGGTAGCTAACATAGAAATGTGCTTAGAAAGGCTCATTCTATTATTAATTGTGTGAACCATCCACTTCACAGTGAGTTTGAGTTGTTGCCTTCCGGCCGCCGTTTTAGAGTACCTCCGAGGAGGACTAAAAGACTCCAGGTCTCTTTTATCCCTACTGCGTCTTGTCTCCTTAATGGCAAATAATTGTCCTTGAATTTTCTATCATTATTATTGTTATTATTGTTTTATAGTATTGTTCTGTTTGTTCTTATCCTCCTGCTGCTAAACTAATTTCCCCTTGTGGGACAATAAAGAAATTGAATTGAATTGAATTGAATCCTTCAAGAAGTCTGGAGAACCATTTCTGAAGGCTATTTAAATAAATTATAAAAAAGCTTGCCTCAAAGAGTTCAGCCTTTGTTGAAGTACAAAGGTGGTTGTAGTGAATACATGACAGACTGATGCAATATGTATTTTGTGTCTTTCCATTGCCCAAAGATTGTATAATAATAAACATAAAATGCTTGTTTTATTGGCTTAAGTGGTCACCAGTTAGACAAACTTGATTTTTTTAAATGACACAACACAACATTATTTTTGGTGTATTCACAGCTAACTGGAGAACCAACCATCAGCATAACATGGTCCTGATTTCACAGGCTCAACAACCCCCACACCGGATAGTACCGGACCCCCATTACAGCAACTATTCACCAGAATATTTACTTCAAAGACATACACACTCAGTAACTCCACTGCAATGATTTCCCATCCTCTAAATTCTAAAAACACTCCACTGGCTCAGATTCAATCGGGCACATGATTCCCAATTTAATCTGTTTTACCTCAGCTCACCATTAATGGGCCACAGGGCCTGAGCTTAGCCATCTAACGAAGCAGAATGGCTAATTGTGGCTCTTACAATTATTAGGGAGGAGAAAGAAGAGGGGAGGATAGGGTTGTCCTGTGGGTTTGTTAACACTCGACTGAGCTTCTTGATAGGTTTAGTTTTAAGACTGTTCAGCTACAGGTAAGAACAACTGAAACGATTAAACAGCCGAGGGATGTGTAAGAACGACTCTGGGTCCCACGGCTTTTATTCCTTCTTTTTTAAGTGACTCAGCCTTTGGCAAATAAATGTAGAAAAGCACAGTTCATACGACAGACACAAGAGCACACACATGCAGGAAAGTACAGTGAATCATCTGAACCCCTGAAGGTAGGAAAGAAAATCAATAAGATAGTCAATTAACATGGGCCACAGATAGAAAGCTGTTTCTGATTCTGTGCTATTTGCTAAAGCAGCAAATCAACTCTAAGTGTAGGGACAGGCTGAGGGCATGAGTCATGAGAGAGAAGCTGCAGGTTCTCTAACTGTAATGTTTTCAATGTGTGTGTTTGTTTGTTTCTAAGCCTTGATTTTGGCACTTCAGCAAAGGAAAGAATTATAATTTATTTTTAAAGCACTCTTTAAAATAAACAGTTACAAAGTGCTGCACAGTCTGGATGAAACCATTTAAGTTGACTCATTTGGTCTCTGCAATAAGTTATCTGGTCTGTCTTCCAATTAATCACATATGGAACACCAGCATTTCCCACTGGGAATCCGTAACTATCACTTTTCAACATGCAAATATAACCTGATAATTTTGGTGCCCAGACCTAATCAAACAGCAAGTGAAGCAAAAATAAAAAGAGTGAGTGAGTGCAAGGTGCTCCACACTGTAAGGTAAATATCTTACAAAGTTAGACAATGTCGGTTGTCTAACGGTTCCCTGTGAACCAGCACTCATTTTAAAAGAAAGAAGCCTCTTGAAGAACTATGCCCACAGAGAGAGCAGTCATCTTTCATGGCAGGAAAGGGGAAAAATGCACTGATGTGCTCGTGTGTTATATTATTTATCATAATATTTGGCAGGTTGGACCACTGGTTTATCCCACTGCCACTCAGTCAGCTTCCTTATACTGACTTGAGTGTAAAATCTGAAAAATTTAGTAACTAGGGACGATGCTGAAAAGATCAATAGTTAAATTCGTAGCTATCTGCACTTGAATGTAAAGCCATGCCTGGGTCCTGGGTCTGTCCAAATTTCCTTACCTGGGAGGCAACCTAGTCAGATTTTCAGTCAGCTGCTCTAAAGTTCAGCTCTGCTCTGAGTCCCTCCCAAATGAGCAAGCACCCTCACCCTGAGCCTGAGCACAGATACCCTGCAGACGAAGCTCATTTCCGCCGCTTGTCTGCAATCTCATTCTTTCGGTCACTACCCAGATATTTGATCAAAGAGAACACCACAGAGAATTTAACTCGAAGTGGATGTTGGTCATGGTGGTCA